TTCTTGTTCTTGTTCTTGTTCTTGTTCTTGTTCTTTGTTCAAGGTGGTCGGGTGTTCTTCGAGGAGGGTAACTTGGTGGGGGTGGGATTTTTTGGGTAAGTGATGCGATCGGGAGGTTGTGCAGCGAATCAGACCTTTACACCGGAGGCTGCTTCCGTGCTGAAGCAATCTCTGAGCTTGGCAAGGAGGAGAGGCCATGCTCAGCTCACTCCTCTACATGTGGCTGTTACTTTATTCAGCTCAAGGAGTAGTAGTCTCTTGAGGCAAGCATGTTTCAAGTCTCAGCCACTTCAAACATCACATCCTCTCCATTGCAGAGCTCTTGAGCTTTGTTTCAATGTGGCTCTCAATAGACTCCCTACTACACCTGGTCCTCTTTTCCATGGCCAACCTTCACTCTCCAATGCACTCATTGCAGCACTCAAAAGAGCTCAGGCAAACCAGAGAAGGGGCTGCCTAGAGCAGCAGCAGCAGCAGCAACAACAACAACAGCATCAGCCGGTATTAGCCATTAAGGTGGAATTGGAGCAGCTTATAATTTCCATTTTGGATGACCCAAGTGTCAGTAGGGTTATGAGAGAGGCTGGGTTTTCCAGTACTCTTGTCAAGAGTAACTTAGAGGATTCCTCTGTTTCCTCTGTTTTTCACTGTTATGGTAGCTCAGGCGGCATCTTCTCTTCTCCTTCTTCGCCTTTGCGTACCGACCATCATTTTAATCCAGGGGATTTTTGGCAGAACCAGTTCTTGACTCGCTCTTCTGAGCAAAACCCACTTCCCTTTTCCCCACAAAAGAGAGTATCCAGCACTAACCTTATTGCTGAATCTTCCGCTTCTTTAAAGCTAGATATCAAGTTTGTGTTCGAGGCAATGCTTGGGAGGAAGAGAAAGAACACACTCATAATAGGTGATTCCATAACAATAATTGAAGATGTGATTTCAGAGCTTATGGGGAGAGTAGCAAGAGGAGAGGTTCCACATGAACTAAAATCGACCAAATTTATTGAGTTTTTGCTATCCCCTGATTCCTTGAGCTCCATGAAAAGAGAAGACGTTGAATTAAAGGTGGCAGAGCTGAGAAGGAACATTGACTCCCTTGTTTCAAGAGGGTGGGGAGCCATAATATATACAGGAGACTTGAAATGGATGGTTGAAACAGATGTTAAAGAAGCTTCAGGTTACAGTCAAATCGATCACGTAATCGAAGAAATCACGAGGCTAATATCATTCCACAGCATTTCATGCACAAAGTTATGGCTAATGGGAACTGCAAGTTATCAGACTTACATGAGATGTCAAATGAGACGGCCAACTCTCGAGACTAGATGGGATCTTCAAGCAGTTCCTGTTCCCTCAGATGGAGCACTTGGCTTAAGCCTGCACAGTTTCAGGTTTGTATTTCATAATTCCATTCCCTACTTGAAGCATAGAGATAGATAGGCTCTTAAGTCCATGATGTTACCTGTTCTGCAGTGTTCATGGCTCGACGACACCTTTCTCTCAGAACCCGTCACAAGTTTGGGAAACAAAGCCATTCAGTATTGCTCAAGAGGGCCAAGACAAGCTCACTTGCTGCGACTGTTCTTCCAATCATTATAAGGAAGCTCAGAAATTAGAGTCAAGCCAGCAGAAAGAGTTGCCTTCCTGGCTGCAGCCCTTCAGCACCCAACTATCCCATCTTAAGGTACAAATATAGAATCCTTCTCTTTCAAGAAGAACTTGACTGATGGCTGAAATTTAGTGCATAGAAAACCAATGGAACTTAGTTGGTTCGATCACTTCGCTTTAAAGAACGCCCAGTTGATTCAGTTTTGGTTAGATCATTGACATATTCAACATTTCTTAATTTTACAAATGTACTAATCTCATGTTGGATCCTACATTGTTAACATCTCAACATGGTTTACTTTTTTTTGTGTCCTCAGAGTCGGGAGAAATCCACTATGCACAGCAATGAAAGTTCCAGTGGAAGTAAGTACCTGAATACTTGGCCACATCCATTTCCGATGAGGAACAGCATGTTCCGAGATTCAGATACGATCAGCTTCACCGAACCAGCAGTGAACATGACGCGAAGTTCAAATCAGATGCTTCAGTTTAGGCGTCAACAATCCTGCATCACCGAGTTCAATTTCGACAATGAAAGTCACAGATATCAGGGTGCATCACCAAGCTTGGATTGTCTCAAGAACATGGAAGAAGATAACAAGGAAGTAAACATTTCTCTCTCGCTAGGTGATTCCCTGTTCTTCAAAGATCCAATAAAATTGGCAATTACGAAGAAGAGTGAAGAAGCAATGACACAGAGAGATCATCTGAGCAAATCATTGCAAGAGAATGTGCCTTGGCAATCAGAGACCATTCCTTCCATAGCTGAAGCATTGATCAGTTTCAAATCAACAAATGAAGAATTCTTTTGGATATTGATTGAAGGGGATGATCAGATTGGCAAAAGAAGGTTAGCTCGAGCCATTGCGGAATCTTTCTTTGGGACTGTTGAACAACTCTGCAAGATAAATGCGAGAGGTGACAATGAGGCAACTTCATCTTCTCAAATCCTCCAAAACGCCATGAAATCACAAGAAAAACTGGTAGTCTTAGTTGAAGAGATTGATCGGGGAGATCCTCAATTCATGAAGTTCCTAGCAGATGGATTCCATGGTGGAAAATTCGGAGGAATAGATGAAAAAGATGGAAATGCTCGGAAATTCATATTCATTTTGACCAGAGGTGGAGAAGAAGATAAGGATACAGATTCCATAATCTCTATGACACTGAATGTCGCGAGCAATTCTGGTTTTGGAGCGCTCAGTGTAGACCAGAAGCGAAAATCCGAATGGGAATCCCCAAACAACACAAAGAAGCAAAGAACAATCAAAGAAGAGGAAGAAGATGCAATCCCTAACACCATCGACGCAGCAGTGAAAATCAACGGAAGCGGTAACCTATCGAGGCAATCAAGCTCTAACAACCTCGACCTAAACCTCAAAGCCGAGGAAGACGAAGAACCACAAGAAGAAACAGAGGAAAGCATACCTCTCCCTGGCGATCCAGAATCCGCAGCAAAGAACCTCCAAATCGAGAAGCAATTTCTCCACTCGATTCAAAACCGTTTCGTATTCAACCAAACTCCATCGTCAAGAAGAGAACAGAGAGAATCACTCAAGTCGAAGATCATCCGATCATTTGAGGGAGTCATCAGGTCACAGAAACAGGCAAATTTCAGCGTGGAAGAGAAAGCCCTGGAAGCAGTTTCATCAAGGTCAGATTCTTTCACCAAAAACGAGTTCAACAAATGGCTGACGGAGATTTTGGAAACGAGCTTGCGAGGCGTCGGATTTGGCGCGCAAGAAGTAACCAATGTGAAGCTATGTTCGAGCGGAAAGGAAGACGGCGCCATTGAAAATGGGTTTATGAGCACATGTTTACCCAAATTCATAAAGCTTTCTTTCATGGACTGAATCAGCCATTACAGCCTCTTCTACGTCGTCGTCTTCTTCCCCTGCGCATGATCCATTGAAACCAGAAGGGGAAAAGTCCAAAATATCCTTCCTGTAACTTTTTTTTCAGTTTCCATTTTTTTTTTCTAATATTTGGAAATTTAGACATATTAAATCCACTAACATAATCAAAAATTTTATTTATGTAACTTTTTAATCTTATATAAAATTTTATTCGTTACTTTTTATTTTATTTTTAACAATATTAAAAAGAATTACGAATTATTTATTTATTTACTAGAAGATAATAAAACGAGAAAATAATCATTTGTATCAGTTGGAAAATATTGGAGTATGATGAGTCATCATTATTGACTTGATGGATGAGTCATTTACATTCCAACGTGGAAATTATTACGTGGAATTATCTATTTAATTTAGTTCCCAATTCAAAATCTCCCAAAAATTAAAACATTTATAAATAAAAAAATAAATAATAAAAAATATATTTTTTCCCATTTTAAAAAGAAAATGACGTCGATAAAGTCCAAATAATTAAATAATTCCTTCAATTATAATAAATTGTCGCTTTTTCCTATGTGGCTAATGCGCTCTGATCACAACTGACAAGTGGCTTCCCTTTCCTTTTGCATATACAATAAAAATAGAAAAAATAATAATTTTTAATAATGATAAATAAAATTTAAAATTAAAAGGGTCATATTTTCAAAAGTGAATTTTATTTTCCAATTGCTGAGTTGGTGCAAAGGGATATAAAATTCCAGAAGGTTACGATTCTCGTTTTATGGCAACGCGTGACGTGGATTTCCTGACGTCTACGTGGAAATCGCCGTCTGAAACTGACGCCATGTCACGTAACAGAACTGTTTCAATTTGTTTTTTTTTTCTTTTTTTTAGATTTTTATTTTATAATCTAATTTGTTTTACATTCTGATTTAAGTAATGAAAATTTTAATTATAAACTTTATAAAAAAATATGGACATTAGAGAATATAGTGTTTAGGATAAATATAATAATCATTATATAAAATTAAAATATATAAAAATGCTAAGACGTGATAGTTTTTTATTTTTCCGTAAATGTATTATTAATAATATGTTTAAATGATTATTGAATTTCATTAAATAATCGTAAAACATCTTATAAACGATGGAACACAATAATCATTAGAAATGCTTGTATTCTTTTTATTTATTTAAAATAATATATTTAAATGGTTAGATGAACACGACTCTCCATAATAGTATGATATTGTCCACTTTGAGCATAAGCTCTCATGATATACTCTCGTGTCCAAGTAAGTCGATAAAAAAATAAAATTAATTTATTTAAAGATTAAAAAAATTAGATTGATAAATTATAAATATTTAAAAAGGTTAAAAATGAAGATGAAAAATAAGAAAGAATAATCTAGTATATTCATGAAAAAGAAAAGTGACAAATATTTATATTTTTAAAAATAATATTATTTCACTCACGAAGCCGAAATCTCTCTCTATAAATACCGGGTTCCGCATATCTCAGATTTTAAGTTCATTACAACTAAAAAGCGCCTTCCCCTTTCTCACCGTTTTTGCCTTTTTCTTTTTCCTCTCTTTCTCTCTCTCTCTCGCTTTTCGATTTTCCTCTTCTTCATCTCGTTTTCCGGCTGAGGTTGCGCGCTCCGCCGAACGAACTCCTCTCTTGCCGCCGTAGAAGGAGCACCGAGAGACTGCAGAAGAATGTGGCTCGCATGTGTATGGGATGAGAAAGAGAAAGAGCTCGGTCGACAACAAGCGCCAGGAACGTGTCCTTTCTGTCGAGGCAAAGTGCACGCCATTGATGTCGAAAGGCGATGGAAGCTCTGTTTTCTTCCTCTCTGCCTCAAGATCAAGAGGAAGTATCTTTGTACTCTCTGTTCTCGCCGTCTCGAATTGTGCCACTGGTAGTAATTTAAGAAAGAAAAAGAAATTAGGTCTCGGTTTTCATCGAACTATCGATGGATCTAATTTGAACCGCTACTCGTAGTTCGTGTTCCCGTTCTTCCGTGAAGTGTTTGATTGAATTTTTGGAGAAACGGATGAGGATCAGGATTTGGATCTGACTCGATTAGATGCATCTAATCTTGTTGTTTTTCTTTTTGTACAGCTTCGAAAACTGTAGATAGAGAAAGACTTCTCTCCGGCCTCTCCTAGAGGATTTTCCCCCTTTTAGTTGGTTTATATTAATTGAAATCTTTCTGCATCTTCTTGTTCTGTGATTTGATGTCTTAATTTGCAATTGCATGCCATTTTATGTGGTTGATTTCACTTCAATGTTCTGATGGATGCTGGAATATTTAGAATATGCTGGTTCTTTTGTACCTCATGTATCAATAAAATAAAATCGAAGTAGATTTATAACGAATTCCAATAAATGAACATTGATGGATACTATTAAATAGGAACTAGATTTGAGTAACTAAATTAAACTTTACAATGCGGATCTGATCACCATTCCAAAATTCAAGTTCTCTTTTCCTTACCAACCGAATAGTTGGTAGGGAATGAATGATGTCTTTAATCTCATTTTCGACAAAATAATAATAATATTAAAAGAGAACAATTTCTCTATTTTCCAATTTAATATTCTTAAGTATTAATTAAGTTCAAATTTTATTTTAGTATTTTCTTGAAGTCCTAAAATCGAATTACAATTACTTAACATTTTCATGTGAATTCTTAATATAGAAATTATTATTATTACTATTTTACAAAATGAAATAAATATTACTTTGTCAACATTTATGATAAGCTTGGAGACGAGATATGAACATTTAAAACTGTATAGATTAGAATGGGGAGAGGTAGAAGTTGTAAAAATAGGGCCAAATTATATGTATGGGAAAACAAAAAGGGATTGAACCATTAATTCAATAAAGAAACTAAGGAGTAATTTCCTTTTCCCCACGAGTGTTTTGGTCAAACATAACGGAAGAAATAATGGATTTGGACACATCCACTTTTACTTGGATCAAAACACGTAAACCACGTTTTATTTGTTCAGTATATATATATATATATATATATATATATATATATACATAGATAGATATATATAAACCAAGCGAAGTAATGGAGTTCTTGAGTTCGTGATTCATTCCAGAGAACAGTCAATTTTGTTCTAAAGAAATGAAACAGAGGAGGATTACATTGAAACACAGACCTCATTCATTCATTCCAGAGAGCAGTCAATTTTGTTCACTGATCTGTTGAAGGCGAGGACGTCCGCGGCGTCGTCAGCCTCCTATCCACCGCCCTTCTCGCCGGCAACGATTGCTTCACGAATCAAGAGCTTCGTCGTCGGATCCATCGTCTCGTTACCTCTCCCGCCGTCGTTTGATTTGGATTCCGTTTTCGATTGTTGTTCTTGTGGTTGCAGTGGAGACTGCTTTTGGTGATTCGCCTCCATCTCTCTCCGCTGCTCACCGCCTCCCCTCCTCTAGACTCCGCCATTTTAATGCCAAATTCAGGAACACGTGTCCGGCAGGAGAAACCACAGCTGGACACGTGGCGACATGATTATATTTCGATAAGCTTGAACACAAAAGTTTAATTTATTCGTATATTTCAAATTAAAACATACAAAATACAAACATTTTAACAATCATTGCATTTTTAGTGTTAAAATTTGACTCTTTTACCATTAAAAAAAAAAAAAAAGATTCAAATCTATTTCTAAACAAACCACTATGAAAATTATAATATTAGTAATTTATTTATTTCATGAGATTTAAATTACTAAATATAATAACAATAATAAGAGGAATTATTACTACCCAGGAGAAAGGAAGTGAAAATCTCTTTAACCCAGAAAATGGCAATCAAGAACACGAGAGTCCTGACATATAAATAAAATAAAAGGGAAACACAAAATTTATGGAATAAAATCAAAATTTAAACCGTTCTCAACGATAATAATTCGGAGGATAAAAGTACACTAATGATGAAACAATAGTAGCAAAACATTCTGATTCCAAAACCGATACTTCAAATGATAAAAAACCTATAAATCCATAAACTTTGGAGAAACAACACAAAATGTAAAAACCTAATTCATCCTTCTGATTAGCTCGTTGATGTAGTTCTCGCGGTTCCCGGCGTCACCTCCTTCCACATAGTGATTCCTCTTCTTCTTAAGACCACCCAGAGGAGCTTTCAGCTTGAAGGGCCACAGGAAATTGTTGGCTTCCTTAAAATGGGGTCCCACTGTCAAGATCTCATGGATGAGGTCTTCTGTGCAAATAATTCCGAACTTCCCAAGAGCCTGGAACAAACAAACCCATCAGAGTTGTAGTAGTTTATATAACAGAATGCAACACTGATTTCATTTAAGCTACAAACCTGCTCAATGATGGAGTTGTCAGTCAAAGCAGTTCTTCGTTTGTTGAGTTTTCCGAAGCCTCTCTTGTAAATGAGTTCTTTAACGCTCTTCAAGTTGGGATACCTGAAAGTATCAGTTGAGTAAAACAAGACGAGTTAATCTTGATATCTAGAAAATCAAAAGAACAAGGAGATACAAGAGAAACATACCCATATGTAACATATGGCTCCACTCTGTGTAACATATTCAATGTTGCCTTGTTCACTTTCAAGAAGACACCATTGAAAATCTGCAGGGTTGGTAATCGTGTGAGGGGTAAAACATGGAGATATATTTGCAATGAACAGATTTCCAACAAAATCAACCAAGGGGTTTATAATTTCAGGAGTGTTTCTACGTCAAAATGTTAATATTAACATGATACATGCGCATGCGAAGCTGCATATAAATCTACAGCACAGAAGAATATAATAGTCAAAACCCAATAAGTAATTTAGTGTCACAGCCTTCTTCACCATAAATTAAACATACAGAAACAAAATCTTTCAAGTAAACTACCAAAAAGAACTGATTCAATGACAGAAGCATATATTTCTAAGAGAAATGAAATTACAAAAACATGGGTTCTGTCAGGGAAACAGTTGAGACCCAGAACCCTATTATTTTCAAACTCAGGGACTTTCCAAGACCACTGTCAGGGAAAGTGATCAGGAACAAGGCTAGACCCACTCTACAAGAAATCAGTGAATTAACTACCATACGTTGTATAAGAAGAGTGCAGAAACAGATAGAAACTAACAATGGCAGAACTATTATGCATCAAATAATATTTATTTGTGAGATAAAATTGAAACTAAACTAAGCGAACAAAAATCCACTTGAAGGAATTGTCTAAATTCATTGTCTGTGAGATGAAATCCATGGGGTACTTGTTACCTGTCTCAAACGCAGAAGCTGCAGAATCTTCTTAGTCTTTGGGTCAATAGCATTGATACTGAAAATCCAAAAGCATAATAAAAACGCTGATACAAACGATTCAAGCAGTCCAAAAGAATGATTTCTCACTAAAAAGGACTCACCCTCGGATCCTGATAATAAACAGAAGCTTGGCCTCAGGGTCGACATAAAATCCGCCCTTGAGTCTAGCCTCGCGCTTCAAACGAACCAACTCCTTTTGCTGCTCATCATACTCCTTGGCATAGAGCTTGGCCCTGTTAAAGATCAGTTTCCTGTTCTCAGCATTCTTCTTCTTCGCAGCCACTAGACCTTTTTTCTCAGCCAGAGCCCATTCTTCGTTCCTCTTCCGCTTCTTCAACACGGACTCCGGAACCACCGGGTTAGGCTTGACTCCTTCCGCACTCATTTCTCTTAACGAAACCAAAGTAAGATCAAAAACCCAAAACCTAAATCAATCACAAAACAAAAGGCAGAACAATAGCAGATAAAAACCATTGACATTCTTCAAAATAAGAAAAACATTGCGATTCTCGTCAACACTACTCACGATTACTACAGATTCTTAGAAATCATGAAATAGAAACAATAATAAGAGATGAAAATGAAGAAAAATAGAGAAACATACTTCTTGCTCAGATGGTCGAAGTTGCGGCTGCGGAGGTCTTTGCGCGAAAAGGGTTGATCTAGCAGAGTGGGTCTAGGGTTTTAAAAGGATCCTTAGTTTCGAGGCCTTCGTCATCGACGGCCCAAAATCTTCTAATCTATTTACGATTAATCTCAGCCGTTGGAGTAAGTTTCGTTCTTTTTTAAGTTAAATTATAAATCCTTCATTTTAAGTTCTCTTTTAAAATTTTCAAATATCTAATAAATACTCCGATAAATACTTAAAATTAGGATATTTCTCACTTCTTTTGATTTTATGTTTTTTTTTTCAATTACCTTATTTTTAAAATAACTTTTAATGAAAATTGTAAGCCTAGTCACGAGATAAATTATTAATTCTAACAGAATAGAAAAGAAAAAAAAAACTAAAAAGAAGAAAAGCTTAATTTTAAAATATAAATTTTATTTCTTTTAATAGAAATAAAATAATATTTCATGTCAAAAAAAAAAAATCTAATTATTCGTATATTAGAATTAAAATATATGAAATTAGTCATTTGACGAGGCTGAAAATATATTCCATTATTTTAATTTAATTAAATATATTGCTTTTAACAATTGGTTCTTCTTCTTTTTTTTTTTTTCATTTTAATGTTTACAAAATGCTTCTCATATTTAAATACAATCAAATATGATTTAAAAATAATAATAAAAAAGAATACAACATTCAAAGAATGTATTACGTAGTAACATTCCTGACAGCAAATATTGTTTTTAGGTCTAATGACTACTCAATGCTAATATCATTTGAAACAGTCCAAATCTACTGCTAATAAATATTGTCATTTTTGGACTTTCTCTCTCTAACTTTCTCTCAAAGTTCTTTCAAATACATCTATTAGGGAAAGAATTCCATAACAGAAATTGGAACCTCACATATTAACTCAACAAAAATCATAAATGATATCTAATATAATTTAAGTACTATTCGATCTATGGTTTAAATATATATCGTATTTTTTAAAAAAATTTAAAAAAGAAATCATGTGGAGAACTACAAAGTGGATTAATAATAAGTTCAAAATCGATGAGGCATATTCATGGACTCCTTAAAAAAAAAAAAATATGATGCTAAATATTGGACATCAATTCTTTAGAGTTTCTACTCTATGGAGGAACATACGACCAAAATTTTTTCAGAGATGGAAACTTCATTCATGAATGATCAAAAGCAGTTAAAGACCAGAATCGTGAATCCCATTAAAATATGGTCAATCCTCATCAGAATAATTGAACTTTACTGAGTGAGATTGCAGATCTATCACTCCGCCTCGGTATGATCCACGCTTCTTCTTCGTCTTTTCATGTCGAAAACCCCTACGAAATTAGTAAATTTGAATTACGAAACCGTTTCATGAACCAGAAAATACATTGAAATTCCCTTCACAAGACTCGGTGAAGTTTATGATCGAAATTAGTAATATGATCCACTCTGAGCTAGAAGTTTAAGTAGAAATGAAAAGAGAAAAAAACTCATGAAAAATACCTTCCTTTAACCTGGCCAAGAACCTCTTGAGCTTTTGCACCATACCCAGTCTCGGCTCCACCCTGCGCAGTATCATAGATTACAAGTAAGAAACAAAAGAACCCACTGAAAAGACAGCAGCAAAAAGGTTAACATCATAATAAGCAGCAAATCACACCTTCGCCCAGTATGAATTATCTGCGAGTTTCTCATCAGCAAATGTCACAGCATCTACTTTTACCCTTTGGAACGCATTAATGGTCTTTGGCTGCAATCATATCATCATATTATATCAGCTAAAGTTGAATTTTTATCAAATTTAAATGAACCTCTGAGCTAAAGATGAGGATTGAAATTTCAAACATTGATCCCACTACACCCTTATGATCACTGGTCTTTGGCTACAATCATAATTTGTAGAATTCACTTGTTTCTAACTAGAATCACAAAATGCTATAAACATAATTTTTTGTATATAAAAAAGGCACCTCTCAAAGGGAGAAGAAATTTAGGAGTAGAAGAGCTGGATTGCTGGTGGAGTTGACAAGTTAATGATGTTTTTCATATCTTTGGAGGGTCTTCTGCAAACATCAAAATATTTGCGTAGATATGTGATGACAATATTTAACATACCTCAGTTGAGCCATTTGAAGGTTTCTTCCAAGGTTTCTTTGAAGAAGTTTTCTCTGCGGTTTTTTCAACATCTGTCTCCTGAGAAAGCTCATTTACATCAACCTTTGTAGACAGCACACCATCATTGCATCCTTTTGAACCTTCTAATTTTCTACGTTTGACATCTTCGGTTTCTTTCTCATCGACAGCATGACTGTCGTTATCTTCAGAAGCCAACCTTTTCCTCTTCTTAGAATTGTCGTTGTGTTCCTCTTCATCTAACATCTTGGTACCATCATTTAGCTGGTTTGAATTTGTGTCACTTAAATGTCGACCATCCTTTTTCTTCTTACTTTTGGATTTGACAACCTTTTCGTCAAGAGTGGCAACATTACCATTCAATCCATTTGAGTCTACAGCTTGAGAATCTCTTGAAACAGTTACATCATCGGGGATTGTAGCAACAGCCTCTATCTTCTCTTTGTTCTTTTTCTTTTTATCCTTAGATTTCTTTCCTGCCTCCTCATGGACAGTAGTGCCTTCGGAAGGTTCTGTGCCATTGGAGTTTTTCAAACTCTCCACATGGGCAGGTTCTGATTTCTCTTTATCTGCAACTGCATTCTTTTTTATTTTCTTTTTATCCTTGGACTTCTTTGCAGGCTCCTCTTGTTCTTCAGGAACCCTATCATCGGTAACCTCTGTCACCATTTCTTCATCTACTAGATCAAAACCAACACAAGGAGATGTGCATTTAAGATCGATAATTTCATGTTGTATTAATTTAAAAAAAAAAACATAGCAAAATTAATAAATGTATATAAACGTAGACAATATGAGGATACCTGGTTTATTTTGGGGTGTGACGGCTTGACTACTGCATATTAGAATTTTAAGTTAGATAAACGAATTTATTTCAAGATCTAATAAGATTGAGGCAAAAGAACTCAATAGAAAAGAAAAGGAACAAGATGCAGCTTGAGACTATTAGAATGACGATGAAATGTCAAAATCTGGAAAATTACCATGGTCACTAATGCTATCACTTGGAACATAGATAAATGATTTATGAACATCTATTATGAAACAAATGGGAACTAATTTAAATGCTTAGCAGAACCAGCAATTTCGTTGAAAATAAGTTACACGTTCATTAACATGTTTATACTTAAAATGCTAAGATTGAGGCACATCTCTGATTAAGTTACACGTTCATTCATTAACAGACAGTAATAGAGAGAATATCTGAACCTACCCTTTCTTAAAATGCTTGTGGCACATTTCTTCGAGACTAAGCAATAACTCCTTTGAAGAATCCTTCTGCACGAATAGCAACAGAAATGGAAATTGTTTCAATAAAGATATTCGCGGCCGAAACTAACTTTTGAAATGAAAGAAGTTGTGAGAGAATAAGAATCCAAACTAGAAACAAGTTAAATTACAGTAAAATAACACCACATATCCCCATCTAACAACAAATAGAAGGTCTCGGAGTAAATTTTTTTGGAGTAATTCAGACTATTATAAAGAACTAGTAGTAAACTTGTTCTATAAAATTATGAAAGTAGGATTAAACCAGACTATTCGAAGAAAACGCAAACATTTCGAATGAGAAGCTCATGAATAGGATTTAGCCACCAACTCCGTAATATGGGATTCGATTACGTGATTCATCTAGCAAGCGACATGAATTGCGTAGCATAATGGGCAACCAGTGAATAATACAAAATTAACCAGTGGATAAAGTGCTACAGTGCGAAGAAGTACGGACCTCAATCTGCGCTTCGGAACGAAACTTTTTTAGGGTTTTGGAGAAGCCATTGTGCTCCAAAAAGAAGGCTACAGCGTGAAGAAGAAGAGTCCTCTGCTCCGGGTGTAAGGATGCGGCTTCATCGGCAGACTTGGGAGTTTGGGCGTCGATTCTTTGCTTCATAGCGTGGTGGGAGAGAAGAACTTGACGAGGTTTGAAGGCGAGAAGAGATGGAGTTACAGAGTTGGTTAGGGTTCGGGACATGCGCCTTCACGCGTTGAAGAAGAAGACTGCTTCCTTCGCGCTAGGGTTTATGAGTTGGTCTCTTCCCGGGTTTTTCCCACTCTCCCTCTCCTGATTTTCTCTCTCTTCTTTTTTTTCTTTTTTAAATTATTTTCTTTTTATGATAAAATTAAATTATTACCGTCAAATAAATTACTCATAAGCAAGTGAATTTCATTTCCTTTTATAAAAACATCCGTATATTATTTTATTTTATTTTATTACAAATAAATATACATAAATTACCACTTAATTAAACTCATATTGGTATTCAATATATTTGAATACCAAAAAATTAATTTTTAAAAAATAAATCAATAAAATTGAATAAAGTAATTTTCATTTTGATTTTGAAAACTTTTAATTTTATATTAAAATGCCTTTTAAAATTTAAAAACTTAGGTTGACATAAACGATAATTAAATTTGTAAACGGTTGAAAATTAAATATCCTGATTGATTACAATATTTTGCCATATTAATTGTATAATTGTCTAAATTAGCCACAAATTTAATTGAAGTTACAACAATTATAAGTCAACGTGTATTCCGAGTTAGACAATTGGAATCAAATAACTTTCTATTCACACTACCATCAGAACATCCGATGTCGAGTAATCATATGTTAAAGAGTTAAAATGAAAACGATGAGATGAGAAAAGATACCTTACTTATGAGTTCAGATTAGTAACACTAGGACAATTATTTTGTGAGGTTAAGATGAAGAAGACGATGGAAATGGTGCATCGCATTCTCGACCGAAGGAGCATATCGGCCGAACTTGTAAGCAGGCGACTCGAGACCCTTTTGAACACCTTCACACAGAATAATGTCTTCAATCTGAAAATTATTTGAACCAATGTGTAAGAGAGAAAGAACAACTGAATTGAAGGAAAGGGGTGGATTTGTTTGTAATACCTGCACACTTTCACTGTCTTCTAAACTTTGTTGTATAAACGATTCGTCATTCTGAACGTGAAATCAAGAGAAAACGTATAAACTCGAATGGACTGAAAAACTTTGATAACACAAGCTCAGTTTTTGCTGAGTTTTCGTGTTAACCGAGCAGTCTTTTTAATATATCAAGAACACAAGTGAGAATTTGTAGCGTATTCATTAGTTTGAAAGACTCGGAAGTACCTTAAAAGGTGTTTCGAGAAAATAATCGAAAACCACTAGACATTTTCGAGGTCCGAGTGGGAGTACTAGATTAGTGTCCATCCAAGGTCCATATCTGTTATATAACGTAGAAAACGACGAGACGAGACGAACATCAGCACAAAACGTCTCGAAACATAAATAGCCAAAGAGCCAGATGTGTTGATGTATCCAAGAATTACCTATTTATCATGAAGTTTGGGTATACGAAAGCATATAGTGCTTCTGGTCCAAGTCGACCATAATCATCGCCTTTTGATTCTCCCCCACCCTTACAACTTTGAATACTAACAGCTTCAAATATCTACATCACATGTTATACTCCGAAGTAAACAGACACTAAAACAGCAAATTGTATGAAAGCATAATGCTATAACAGTAGTTTGGTAATGAATTTTAAATGAACAGTCAACGTACTTCGGTAGAATATGACTCGAGCTTGAGATTTGATGCAAGCCCTTTGTGTGCATACGGGACGTGATACCCTCCGTCTAAGTAGTTGTCACAAAAAACCTACAAAAAGCCAAAACCCATAAGGATTGTGTAACGGTCCAAACCATTGCTAGCAGATATTTTCCTCTTTGGGCTTCCCCTCAAGGTTTTTAAGCGCGTTTGCTAGGGAGAGATCTCCACATCCTTATAAAAAATGTTTCGTTCTCCTCCCCCAAGATGTAACAGCTCAAACCCACCGCTAGCAAATACTGTCCTCTTTGGGCTTCCCCTCAAAGTTTTTAAAACGTGTCCACTAGGGAGAGGTTTCCACACCCTTATAAAAAATGTTTCGTTCTCCCTCCCATGGTGTAACATTTCAAGTCCACTGCTAGTTGATATTGTCCTCTTTGGACTTCCCCTTTCGGGCTTCCCCTCGAGGTTTTTAAAATGTGTCTACTAGAGAGAGGTTTCCACACCCTTGTAAAGAATGCTTCGTTCTCCTCCTAAAGGAAAAGCCCAAAGAAGACAATATCGGCTAGTGATGGGCTTGAGCCATTACAGATCGTGTCAACCATATATGACCATTTTTCTAGAAGGATGCAAGGACTATACCTTCCAATTACATTCAATGGTGTATTCACGTCGACAGACAAAACTTAAAGAAGCATCAACTCCATTTAAACTCAGCAAATCTGCACAGCTTCCCAGCCATTCATGTGCCACTTCATCTTCATCAACAACCAGCTCAGATGATAATTTTTCATCCAGATTGAGAAGAACGAACGGCCCCCATGTCGCTACGGGTAACGGTACGAGCCCAAAATCCTAATCTCCATTAAATAAATCAACCAACCATTAAGCCATTCAGAAACATTATATCAAAATGGTTATAATGACATACATTTACATCAAAGTTCTGAATTCCATTTATTCTAGTCGCCTTAAGCAGCCCTCCATCCAACCCATATGTCCATCCCTGCATAAATTATGGAATAACCCTGTTCAATACATATATATAGAATCTCACATCCCAGGAAGATATGCAAGTGAACTCACATGATATGGGCACACAAAGCAGGACTTCTTCCCACATCCAGATGCAAGAAGTGAGGCATGATGGCGGCAGACATTGTGAAATGCACGAACCTTCTTGTTATTATCTTTGCAGACAACGTATTCTACATTTCCCAACCTGCCATGGACAAGGAGACAGAGCAAACAAATTTTACAGACCAGCTATGGTGGGGAAGAACACATATCTCTAGCATCCCATATTTGGTTAAATTACTGCTCTTTAGATTTTATTCTATTGGTAATAAATGGAAACAGACAATTAATCACACCTGCCTGTGAAAAAATCATGGGGATCTTTCAACTGTTCAACATATCCTGACAAGCCAAGGGCAGAAGAAGTTGATGATCCATGCATTAGTATTGTCAGAGTTGTAATCTAAAGAGGAAAAAAGGGAGCATATTGCATTAGGTGTAAAACAAAGAGTACATAGTTTCAATGGGATTAGCCTGCTTTGGGTGCATGAGAAACCCCATCAAGAATTACTCCATCAAGAGTTCTCAGTTAATGCATATACCAGTACATATTGTCCGCTTTAGCCTGTTACGTATCGCCATCAACCTCACGGTCTTAAAACGCGTCTGTTAGGGAAAGGTTTTCACACCCTTATAAGGAAGGCTTCGTTCCTCTCTCCAACCGATGTGGGGTTCCCCTCTCCAACAGAAGTGAGATATCACAATCCACCCCCGGAGTCCAGCGTCCTCATTGGCACACTGCCTGGTGGCTGGCTCTAATACCATTTGTAACAGTCTAAGCACTCCACTAGCAGATATTGTCTACTTTAACTCGTTACGTATTGTCGTCAGCTTCATGGTTTTAAAATGAGTATGTTAGGGAGAGGTTTCCACACCTTTGTAAGGAATGTTTCCAAGAGCATGGATTGTGAGATCCCACATCGGTTGGAGAGGAGAATGAAACATTCGTTAGAAGGGTGTGGAAACCTCTCCCTAACAGATACGTTTTAGAATCGTGAGGCTGACAACGATACGCAACGGGTCAAAGTAGAAAATATCTACTAGTGGTGGGCTTAGGCTATACTTGGTCACAGATAACTTTCATTCGTTCTCTTTCACACTTGGACTCTGGTTGAGTTACTCTTACCACTCGCAAATATGTCTAGCTCGAAAATCACCCCTAACCGCTCATGAAAGGAGTCATCAAACCATGGCGATCCTCTCTTTTCTTCTTCTCCTAATTTAGTTCTTCCATTTGTCAAGCTCTGAAGGCAGCTATTCTCTTTCTAGCTTGAGATCACGAGAAGGAAATACTAAAAGATGGTTTCTGAACGCTTAACATCAACGAAATGACTTGGCTGGGAGAGATTTAGAATTAAGGAGCTCGAATGTCTAAATAGTTAAATAATCTCCATTATAATCACAGATCGCACTGAAATCAAGCAACTAATCTCCTCGCTATGAAGCTACAATTAAATAGAATCGCAAAAGAAGAAGAGCATCAACAATTTAGAGATGGAAGCGAACCTACGGCCTGCCATCCTCTGTGGAAGACACGATCGAGCTCGAGAGCGAAAAATGAAGGATCGGTGTACCAGGAGCTGGGTGGAGTGACGGCCTTCTCCAAGGGAATTTCGGGGTCGAATTCATCAACGAGTTTCAGAGCTTCAATAAAGTGAGAATCAGAGTTACGAAAGGATAAAGTCGACGAGATTCGTGTGGGAGACCGATAACTGCGCGACTGAAAATTGAAGGAAGCGAAAAGAGGTTGGAAGAAGTGAGTATGGATATGCTTCGTTAACGCCGCCATTGCAGCAGCCCCCAAGCTTCCCTCCGGCTAGTTGTATTCTACAGTTATCGGTTGGTATTTCGTAGATTTTATTTACGATGCCTTTCAAAAGAATGACGAAAAAAAAAAGTCTCAATAGAATATATACATTTAGTGTTAACATTTTTTTCATAGATTTTATTGCCTTATTTAATTTTAAATAATTAAAATAATTACTAGTATTTAAGTAATTCATTTATTTAATAAAAAAAATTCATTATATTTTTAAAAAATTATTATTGATTTATTATAATTAAATATAATAAATTTGTAAACGAAGATCAATTAATTAATTAAATTTATTCAGAATAAAATAAATTAAAACATAGAATGTTATCAAAATTTTATATAAATAAATAATTTTTTTTTAGTTATTATAATTACTTCTAACAGTTTAATAGAATAGATAATTACCTATGGTTAGTTAATTACTTAATCTCTTTTTATGAAGTCAAAATATTGAAATAATTTTAATAATTAAATTTTGATTTAATCTTCCTTCATCAATAAGTATCTATAAATAATATGTCTTTAGGTTCAACCAATATTAATAAATCATTCTCAGAGACGATAATAAACTTAAATAATTGGGAAAATATTAAAAATAAATAATTGAGAAAATATTAAAAATATCATATTAAGAAAATAAAGAAAAAA